ATAGGGTGGCATGGGGATGTCATGGTCATTCCCAAAATTTTATTTTCCTTTTAATTTTTTTTATATGTAAAATTGTTTTAAGAGTTTTTTATTTTAAATTTTTTTATATTAACCTTTTTTCTTCTCTTTTGTCTTTGTCTCTGGTTTAATAAAGACATGAGAGGTTGGGAAATAAAAGAAGTTATTGACTCATAAAAGGTATGTATTGGTCTTAATAAGTTTCTACCTTGATTTTTTTTTTCTTTTGTAGTTTTGTAATAGTCATTATTTAAGAAAATATGGTTGTTAAAGGGCCTAAACCTCTCAACGAATTTCATAGGTGAAATCTTAGACAAAATAATTTAAGACTAATATAGTAATCTTGTGATGCGGTTGACTAATCACTTGAATTTTGTGAGATAATCATATATTGATTTGTGATTATTTGAAAAAAAAAATACAAATTATAATATAAGCAAAAGTGAAAGTGGTTGCAATAACTCCTTCCAAGATTGAATAAGGCATTTATGGAATATCACTAGTTCTAACTAAAGGTTGTGTTATTCATGTAAATCAAAGTCACGTAGAGACACTTACTCAAAGGTATCATGTGGTCAATGAATTAAGAAATTTTGAAAATTCAATCGGCAACATTGATGCATCGAAACAAGAAACAAGAATGGACATGGAAAATGTGGCCAACTAAGTGAGGATGGAATCCACCTTGGTATAAAGGTTTGGTTTTCTTAGTAGCTTAATGAAATTCTTTAAATGCTTCATAGTGTGTATTATGATCAAGGAAAAACACCAAATATTAAGGTGATTAATAATCCCTTGAATTTGAAGACAAGGTAAACATCCTTCAAGAAAAAAAAAAAAAACAGAACAAAATTCTTCTAACCTTTTAATTACGGTATCTCATGCTTATATAATGGTTCACAATACACACCATTAAGCATTAATAATGGCTATCTCAATTGAAATGTTAATCTTTCCTCTAAAATATAACTATCAACAAAACCATCGAGACTTTTTCACTAAAGGAGTCTTCTCTAATGAATAAAACCTCCTTATAAACCAGGGTTACCATCATAGGAAAACTCACCCAAATCACCATTGGAAGCAAATATTGCTACAAAAGAGATGAATAATGAAGATATTAAGGAAGAGGTAATCCAATGAGTATACCTAGAAATCTAATCACAAATAGAAAGATAAATGAAGAAAGAATGTTGAAAAACTTTTAAAACATAAAGTGACAAGAAAAACATGACTCTAAAAAGTTATAAAGTATGAAGAGTGAGGGACATACTTTCTATTTTATATGAGTGAGGAAATATTTTTCACCTAAATAGTATTTCACCTGTTTAAATAAAAGACACTTTATTTTATGGTATTCTTGGAAAGCACCATGTTATTAACTCAATAAACATGTCATTTTAGGATTAGAAAAAATTATTCACAAAGAATATTAATATAACATTACAAATTATTATTTTTAAATGGGAACATGTTAGCTTAATATTATGAATTCAGATATAACAATGATAGTCTTTAAAAAATTGGGCATCATTCTAAATTATATATGAGATGACAATATGTTAAATATTTTAAAAGTTAGATATCAATTCTTTATAAATCTTATCAATACTTGTTCATCTTCGATGAATAATAAGTCCCTATAAATAAGAATTTTGATATTTTGACATAAAAAAAAACAAAAACATTCATTCAACAATTCATTTTTAGATTTTCATATTATTATTTATCTATCTTATTTTATTCTCTTTCCATCAATCAATCAAAAAAATAATATTTTAAGATTGTCAATAGGATATTTGTAAAAATGGATTGTCAAAATATGTTTTCCCTATAAACAATTAGTTTACCTATAATAACATATGTTGTCTAGATTTTAAACTTTGGGAACTTACATATCTTATCCACATATGATATACTCAACAAATAATTTGAATATTTTATAAATAAATTGGTAACCATATAAAAGATAATGTCTAACAATATGAACATCTTTTGTTATGTCTCTAATATAATTAGTCATACTAATTTCTCCTAAAAAAATTATTATTATCTTGTTATTTATCAAGAATATAAAGACTTATTAAGTTATATAATACACACCTCATTCATATAAAATCTCACCTTAACCTACCCTTTTAGTTATATTATTTTTTTATTTATAATATCTTATATACCTAATGACTTAAACATCAAGATGTCATTTCACAAGTAGGTTTTGATTCGATACTAACACATGTCTAATTGAAAACATCATTTTCTTCACGATTTTGTACGATTTGATTCACAAGCCTGAAAGTTTCATTATATCAATCTTCTCAAAACATTTAATAGAATCAAATGTATAAATTTCAACTAATAATAAAAATATACAAATAAATATATAATTATTTTATTCATAGCTCATTTGGTTCACTTTTTTATATTAAATTATCACTTAAATCAAACCTAAAAATTAAATATGATTCGATTTTGTTCGTTTTCTCCTTTATATAAAAATTTAATCGTATAAAACTAATATTTTATAATTTGATCTGGATAGTTTCCTTTTTATTTTTTTATTATAAAATTGATAAATATTTTAAAAATTATTATTATATACTTTATAATAAAAAAAAAGATGAAATAGAAAAAAGTGATTATTTTTCATGATTGTTTTTATACTAATAATTTTAATTATCCCATACATATAAATAAATTATATAATATTATAATTAAAAAACTACATAGACATTTGTTATAATATTTTTGATAAATATAAATATATTTTAAATAAAATACATAAACCATAAAATAAATTCGAAGGAACATATTATATGTGTGTTTATTGATTTGTAATTAACTCTTAACACGGAATATTAAATTTAAATACAATAAATGATGTAGTTCTATATAGTGTTGATCTTAATTTTTAATTTAAAATCCAAATTAAAATATATTATTTAAAATAAATAGACTAAAAACATCTAAACAAAAAATTATTTTGATCAATTTTTCATTTTTATATCAGTTTTATTCAACGTAATAATTTTAACATGTAATTGATTTTTAATTGTTTGTAACTTAACAGTTCTAAATAGGTTTATTACAAAAAAAGTATTATTTTGACTGATTATATATAAACTATATCGATTATTTTGACTCTAAAATATATTATTTATGTGTTATTTTTTAATACGTTATTTATTATTACATTTTACTTGACAAAGTTTACTATTTTTTTTTCTCATTCTAAAAGAAACGATGATATGTATTTTAGAAAAATGTGCAGCTTATAAATTTGATATAAAAATAAAAAATAAAATATCATTCACAGCACAGGTCCATACAGTAATTAATATATTTAAAATAATAATAATAATAATAACTAAAGTTGACTATTGTGAATTTAAGATAATTACATTCATAACTATAAAGTTATGTAATAATCTTCATCAATATAATTAATTTAATTATTTTAGTATATATCTCATTTCATTTTTGATATATCTCTCATTTTTGTCATCTTTTGATCATTAAAAAAATTGCTATCATAAAATAATCAAAATTATTATATAATGAACAACATTAATGTAAGAATTTAAAGTTTTCATTAAAAAATCATGATCAGTACATTGATTACATCTAATGATTATTCGAAATTTCAAATTTGAAAATCAAGTTTTCTTTACTATGGCATTAATAATGTGAAGTATTTCATATTTTATTGAATATAATTAATTTCATTATCTTTAACTAAATACAACGGTCATAACGTATTCATTTGTTCTTTATAAATATCCAACGGCTACCCATTTAGCATACTGCCCCACACACACTATATATATATAATTAACGTTTGTAATTGTTAAATAATTATAATTAATTTCAAGAGAAAAAAATCACCAAATGATTTTAGTGGGTGGTTCTAAAATGTTACTTTGTCAGAAAAAGAAATATGAGACTCTTATATTATTTGAAACGGAAATAAATGAAAAAGGTTTCATGTGCTGCATGTAGTTTTGTTATGTGATTTAAAGAACATGTGAAAAAAAAAAGTTATTTTTATTAGTTTATGAATGAAATAAAGTATGAATGCCCAATAGATAGATAGTTATATTTTTAGAAAATTATTCAAAGCCGAAGCGAGTTTTTTTTTTTTTTGGGTAAAATAGCCCATTTGATTTGACAACATATACCTTTTAAGAAAATAATAGTTGACACTAAAAATAACTATCACCACCTTACAATGTTTAATCAAACTACTATATTTATACATGATAGTAATCTATAATATTTATCTTTTTTAACTAGGGTTATACTACATTTAAATTCATGCTTTATACCAATTTTTTTGTTTAAAAACTCAAGATATATAGAAAAGTTGAGACAATCCCCAAAGGAGGTTGAACAAATAACAAGTGAAGAAAATGTTATAAAAACTCAAATTTTTTTTTTATAGAGTAATAAATAATGTTACCTAATCAAGAAAGAGAAAGAGTGACGTAGAGTTGATGAGTTGGTGTTGTGTTTTGAAGCCTAGCCAACGCACAAGTTGACAAAAAAAAAAAGATGCTATTCTCACGTGGCTCTGGTTCATTAACATTATTACCCTTTCACATTGCCAACCTAAATAACATGGAATTAACTTTAAATTCAACTTTAAATTCAACTGAAACCATCAACATTTATTGTACTGGTCAAAATAGATGACAAAGCAAAGCAGCCGTTGAACTTAGAACTCCAAAAAGGTTAGGTGTTTTGTGTGGGATATACACAATTTCCCATAACACATACATTCTTCATGTCTGTTACAGATACATATAATTTAATAATGTAAAACACAAGCAAGTTAAATAGTCTCAGACAGAGACAAGTTCCTTGTTGTCCTAGAAAATACGCATTAGTCTCCTAAAGGTTATTCTTTTCATTACCCTTTTCTTTCTCACTGTCTCTGACACAAATAGCTCCATCAGGCTCATTCAAAATAGCTTTCTCAAATTATGGCTCTTTTTGTGTATCTTGTGCTTTTCCTAGCCCTGGTCCATCATTCAAGTAAGTGCCTGCACTGGTTTGGGTGTGTTTCTTCTAAAGTTTCAACATTTGATTTAAAAAGTTCTTTTTTAAAGTCATGATGAACGCCCTTCAATTTTCTGAGGTGGGTTCATATTATTAGTAGCAGTTCCTAGACTTTTTTCTTGCTTTAGTTTTGGGGCTTTTCTTTAAATGGGCGTCTCTACTGTTCTGCAGAAAGATGAAAGCTTTTATAGAGTGATTTTAAGGGTTAAAGGAGATTCTGAATAACCTTTTTTATATATAACATGTTTCTCATGTTGTTGTATTGGTAAGATAGGATTATGGTGTGGACTAACTTTTTCTTTTTCGGTTACTGGTTTTTGTGATTTGCAATATAGGTGCTCTTTACTGTTTATGCAAAGATGGTGTTGGTGATCAAGCCCTTCAGAAAGCAATAGATTATGCTTGTGGAGCTGGAGCTGACTGTACCCCTATTCTCCAAAATGGAGCTTGTTACCAACCCAACACTGTGAAGGATCACTGTAACTATGCAGTTAATAGCTATTACCAGAGAAAGGGTAATGCTGCAGGAACCTGTGATTTTGCAGGTGCTGCCACAACCAGTACAAATCCACCTAGTAAGTGTACTTCCAAGTGCATCTATTTTTGGCACATGTTCTAGAATTTCAATTTTATTAATGTTCTTCTCTTTCTTGTGTATTTTTTTTTCTACAGCTACATCATCTGGATGTGTCTACCCCTCAAGCCCTAGGTATTTTTCTTGATTATTGTGGGTTTATTTGATTTCTTATTGTTTTATTTGTCTTGCATCCATTGAATTGGATAAGTTCTTTGGAAATTCAAGGAATTTTGAGCCAATCGAGTGTGAGGTCGTAACCTTTTGGAAAAATCCTTTCTACTAGGCATTTTATGGCTAACTGTTGGGCTCTTCCAGCCTCTAAGAAATCATTTTTATAGTGCAGAGATCTTTTAACTCAGTTTTTGTATTCCTTTGAAGTCTTTCTCTAGTTTCCATTTTTGTTTTTTCTTTGAGGTGATTGGTGACATTAGTCATTTTTAGTATTAAGTCCTTTTTTATTTCATGTCTAATTTTCACTTAGCATAATCCAATGGGCATTTTGAAAAACTGGGATTCATTTGTTCTAATTTCAAAACTGACAATGTGACTCTAGTGTGTTTTAAACATAAGCTAAAAGCCTCTTTTTTGGTTTCATGTACTCACCTCCCTGAAGTAGAAATTCTGAATTACATTCTTGCAGAAAAGTTATCTTATCACTGGTAAATAGCAATGCCATACTTATTCTGTTGAAATATGAGCTGGCATAATTTGGATGTTTCACAAACATTTCCTTTAGGACTGAACTTATGTATAAGTATAATATTTAATTAATGACCTTAGGTTATGGTTAAATGAAATGGGTTATTGATGCTCCTTATATTACTTCAAGGTCTATTATATATGCTAAAACTTGTATTTTGGCTCTCTTGCAGCAATGCAGGAACAACACCATCAACTGGTTCACCACCTGGTACAACCCCATCAGCAGGTACAACTCCAAGCACAAGCATAACTCCTGGTGCTCCTAACACATTTGGAATAAGTCCAACATCTACAACTGGTTTCAATAATGGAGCTAATTTGGGAGGCACCAACTCTGAGATGCTTTTGCTCTTTCTGCTAACCATGTGCTTAGCCATCAGGATCTAGACTAAAGGTACAGTGCCACCACTGGACTAGGAAAAACTTGTGAGGTTTTCATGTAATTTTACTTCTGGGAATCATCCACAAGCAATTCAAGCAAACCCGTTTTGTTTTTTGTTTTTTTTTTCCTTGCAAGAGAAAAAAGAGTAGGAATTTGGTTCTTTTACTTAGTGGTGATCTATTTGATTATGATTACTAATGAGGGGTTGGAAGTAGCACTTGGCTTTTCTCCATTTGTACATCTAAGACTATGACAGGCACTATTTTTTAATTTAATGGTATCCGGCTACCCCCATTTTTATAATCTATCTTCTTCATCATTCAATTTCTTGTTAGCTGGCTACTCAAATATTTTGACCTTTTCAATTGTTTAGTTCATTCATTTTCTCTAGTTTTAGACCTTATGTTGGGTGTGATAAGGCTAATTAAAAGCTCTTAAAGTGTTTCATTTTAACTAAGTAGGACCCTTACAGTATATCCTTTAATAAGATTTTTAATGTTATTCTGAGTTTTGTTTTTTGTTTTTTCTGTTTTACAATGATCACATTATCTTTAGAATTTATGACATTGAATGTTACAATATATAGTCTGTAAGTTCATCATATTTTTTTGAAAGTAAAAGAAAAAATTATTATTTATGGTTAGTTTTAAATTATTAATTGGTGTAAAATTAGGAGCCTTGATACTCTTTCTACTTTATGATGAAGCTAAAGGGGATATGAAAATTCCAAGTTCCAAACAACAGAACCAACCAGTTCATATATTAACGAAAAAGCAAAGGTGGTTCAAAGGTCCCTCTATCAAAATAATACGAGGTCACTTTTGAATTTTCTTTTTCGCTATGCCGTTTCATTCATGTTGTGTATCAATTTTTCCCTTGGACGTAATTGCTTTTAAAAGTCAATAACAACAACGGAGAATAATTTTGTTTCACATCATGCCATGCCGACAAATATGATATAAAAATTAGCACATGCTTTTCATCGGCATTTTTTCTTTTCTGTCAATTACAACTGAACTAAGAAAATGTTTTTAAAATTGCCAAAGTTATTTTTTGTCTCTAAGATATTTTTCCTTTCAACTTAGTCCTAATTCTGAGTTTTTCAACTATATCATACTAAATCCACATTGAGGTTGGTTCCAATTTATGCATAGAATGATACTTTGGATTTTCCAACCTGTTTGAGGCTACGTGCGTTATTTGTGTAACACCCTAGCCAGAGAACAATTGAACTAAAGATAGAGAAGACGAGTGATTGAGTCACAGAAATTTGTATATTTTGCTATCTTACCAATCAATAATTATTTGCCAGTTACCACCATCACAAACATTTTCAATGATCTATTGCTTTCAATGGTACTCTCTTCCAAATCAATGACATAAAAAATGGGAATGTCATTCTCAACAGAAAAACAAAAACAAATATGAATTATTAATTTTACTTCTGCACTGAAAGTTAATAATCTTTAATATGGCATAGTTTGATGTTTTGGGTCAACGAGTAAAACTGATTGACATTCAAAAGAATTTCACACCAACATAAAGGGTACCAAGTTACCATTTATAAATTTTTATAAATAAATTATTTTATATATAAATTAAAAATCACTTTTTAAAAAAATATATATATAAAGTTTCTATTTTTTTTTGTGTTTTAAAAGTGAGCATGAACCATTGGAGACATAATAAAATGCTGTAGTATATCCATTTTTTGTGATTTCTATTTTGTATTGGAGTAAAGCTGAGAAAAAAACAAAAAAAAAATGCAACTAGAAGTAATTAAAGTGTCCAACACAACTATAACATGGACAGGGCATGTTTCCTTGTCACAAAGGTGAAACACATTCATTTTCTGTCTTGGTCTTGCTCTGAACAAATTCAACAATGAATTTGACTACGGAATCTGGCCTTTCAACATGAGGAAGGTGACCACAATCGGGTATTTGGCGTATAATGGCATCAGGTAATTCACAATGCAGTCTCTGAAAAAAGTTCGAATATAATCATTATTAGTAGGCAATGTAATCTCCTAGAATACTTTTCGTGTTCATCATCATTTGTCACAGAAAAGTGGAAGAATGTGCTGTGTATCAACTTACCACAGCAAGCTTATTGCTGATTATGCGGTCATTCTCCCCCCAAATGACCAGAGTTTTCTGCTTTACCTGTTAAACAATTTCAGTATCAAAACATCTTGGTCTAGAGAAGAAAACTACTTCTCCTAAAATTTTGAATTTATACCTAACTCAACCATACAACACTAGTTACATCTTCATAGTTACACTCTAATATAAAGGAATAGAAGTTACCGAACAAGAGAGTTCAAAGTGCATCAATCATCGTTAACAGAGAATAAAAAAACTGACAAGTGCTAGCAACCTTCCAAATGATTGTGTATAATTCAACAGTATAACTGGAAAAACTATGATTGAAAAAATTTATGACAAGCTTGTTCCTAATAACATAAGGACCTGTAAATAAAAAATTGAAATTTATCCATGTACACCTAAAGATAAGCCCTTTGAAACATGGGAAGAACAACATTGTAAAGATGGCAAAATTGATTCAATCTGGGGGCAAAAGATTAAAATGTGGAACTAAATATTGATGAAATTGTAAGCATAAAAGAGCCATTGATCACACATTATTCTTCATCTGCAGCAAAGATTACTAGTGATTATAGTCCAGATGCCTTAAAATATAGAGTATAACAGATATACCGGAAGCCTGGAAATACCTTTTTTATCTGGGAGGAAACATTATAACCACCACTAGTCATGAAATCAACTGTAGCATCCTCCCACCATGGCAATAAACAATGCAAGCGGCCCACCTATTTAAAGATTATATGATCATGTTATCCAACTTCATTCTGCAACATCTAAAGATAACAGTGTATGAGTGCCATTCAGCGTGTGTGTGATGCCCTCTACTATATATGGCTATTATATCCAATAAACATATATAATATAGTCCTAACAAATTTATAACAATTTATTATGTCTGGACTCTGGTTATACTGTGAACAATAACATGCTGAGGTGTCAAAGTGAGCATGTGCCAAGTGGTGCATCATGGACTTGAAAATAAATACAACATATATGTACACCACATTATCTAAAGAAAGTGATAATATTAGGATTTAACAACTCACATTAGTCCAATCGAGGCTGGTACTGAAAGAAAAATTAGTGAAGCTCAAATAGTTAGCATATAAGCGTAATGGAATGCTCTTCAATACATATACCTGATTCAAAATATCGCCAATGGTGAGCACAACTTGCACCATTTAAGAATTAACAATCTTATGCCATCCTTCTTATCTATCCCCCACAACAGAAGTAAAAAGAATCGGGAGAAAGGATTAAAAAAGCATTACTTAAGATATCTATTGCAATTATAAGGTGTAGGTAGGAAACAGGATTATAAATAATCAACAATATGGGATTAGATTGAAATAAGATGCATGATAATGCAAAGCATTGACATCTATTTATTAATACAATAATTATGTCGTGTCTTGTATTGGTGTAGTACTACTCGCACAAACTCAAACCAACAAGGTTAATGACGTAGCAAATTCTAAACATAAATAACAATGCTAATATTCTAATACCCTCGCTAGATAAAGCTTATTAATCTTTAAGCTCGATAAAAACAAGCATGCTTAAAGAAATAAAATATGATGTAGCATATATAAATTATAGTTGGAATTGGAAAGAAAATTCAAGGATATTGGAGACACTACAGAGGCTTATGCAAGATAACTGTGAGCTGCATTAGGCCATCCTCTATGATACTTAGATACATCAGACAAACATTTAGACTGGGACTTCTCTACAAAAGTAATTCACATATTGTGGGTTTTTGCATATGCAGATTGGACCATTTCTCCCTTAGATAGACAATCAACCACAGGTTATTGTGTGCTAATTGGAGGCAACCTACTATTGTGGGGAAGCAAGAAAGATGTCATTGCCAGATCAAACATAGAAGCCAAATATTGAGTCATGGCATTAACAACACGGAATTTGTTAGGAATAAAACATTTGCACCAGGAATTAAAACTTTGAGCCAAAGCAGCAAATAAGTGACACTTGAAATATTAGAAAAAAGGTTAATACTATATTTTCTAATTAACAATTTACAGGGGAATTACATTTATATACTAGTTGTAACAGCATTTATAGGGAAATAATCTTTTCATCATAATTACAAAACATAAAGCTCAAACTAAATTACATGGAATTATTTTGTACACGTGATACACAAATAACAAGTTAAATACCACATGTCACATCACATTTATCACATGTCAATTACAATTAGGCTAAGCTTTAGTACTAACTTTCCTCCACTTACCTGTGTCAATTACAATTAGGCTAAGCTTTAGAACTAGCCTTTTTGGGCACAATCTGAACCTTCTAAGCGTTCAAAGTATTATCAATACCATTCACCAAAAAACTACCTTATCCTCAAGGCAGAAAGAAGGGAATGATTAAAGATGTTGTCAAAGTCTTCCCAAGTTACCTCCTCCATTGGCTTAGCCTTCCACAAAATGAGCCATTCAGTTACTTTTTTCCAACTGTCACACCTGTAACTGCTAGCTTCTGGTTCAATGGGGGCAGGATCATCAGTATCAAAGCCACGGGATAGAGTTGCCTCCGTGGACTAACAATTCAAATCTGATTTAAGCCAGGGAGCGCAGAATCTGTCAATTCAAATCTGATTGTTCATTTTCTTGCTTATTTTTATTCATTCAGCTCCATTTCTGTGAGTAAAACTTAATCTCCGCAAGGACTGTTCCTCCTTGAGTTTGACTATAATGTCAGTATATTTTAATTTTAAATTAAGTCAACAGATCTTTATTTTGGATCAAAATAAGTAATGGCTCGTTCCAAGAGGCCATGAGCCATCCAAGCTCAATTCATTATATCATATTGACTAACAAGATGGCAGAACAAGAATAACTGATATCTAAGCAAGAGAGATGTCATTTTGCTAAAACAAAATGTAATGCTAAGAATTGGTATATTTACTTGAAGGTATATGAAATAAAATGAATAATAAATTAAATTGAATTTCATTTTAGTAAGGTAATATCAATTATTTCAAAAAATATTCTATAGACAGGATATGAAACAATATTCTAGATAACTATATAAACACATGAATTTACTAAGCTTGGGCTACAGAACACTGGTATAGCTAGAGACATGTCTTTCTAGATAGTTGCTTGTGCTATGCGTCTATGGCCTGTATTAAGTTGGATATATACTCACCCCAGCATAGGCTGCCGCTCTAGGTAAGGTTGCTAGGTTTCCTGTTCCTTCGGCATACACACTTGCATCAATCAAAACAAGCTTTTCCACCTGAAAAAATGAACTTCATATAAATTACTAGATAAAAACACAATCAATTGATAGAATTTTTCTTATAATAAAAAAAGAAAAAATAAAACAATCCTCAAAATATGTTCAATAATCAGAAGTTAAATTATTGGATAGCACGTACAGCTTCTGGATAATTAACCGCAAAGTCAATGGCAACCGCAGAGCCAAGGCTTGGACCAACCAATATCATAGCCCTTTTGATATGCGACTTCCAAAACTAGTAGACAAATCCAATACACCCACAACACATTGAAACAATAGAAAGTAAAACAACAGAGATGCAAAAGAAACTTGTCAATTTGTTGAGAAAACCATTTCTTCAGAAAATGGGATGGTGAACAAGTCAAAGCCTACATTATAAATGATTTCCTACTTCAATTCATAAAGTCTGAAAATAAAAGCAGAAAAATTTAATAGGTGTACTTTTTAGAGTTATGAATAACTTTATAATGGCAACAAAGCTGTAAAAAATTATCATTACAAAACATAGGATACAAGAGACGCGCATTAATTAACACCTAAGTACCTGATATAAGTGATCACGCTTTGAAACCACATCACAAGAAGGAAGTTTTTCTGATGGATATAAGAAGGAAAAGAGAAAACTACATGATTAAAGTGAAGGAAAGGAATGCATATAACATAGGATAAGTAATAAAGCAAACCTAGATTAGAGAAACCCCAACCAAGAATGTCAACTGCCCATGTCTCATAACCAGCTTCCTCAAGCAATGGATATGTGTATCTCCATTCTAAACATGAGCTGAACAATGAGAAGGAGTGAAATGAAATCCAAAGGTAACTTGAGCATAAAAATGTACAAATTTTGTCAATTGCTTGTTTTGAGCACCTGTCAAATCCATGAAGTAAGACAACAGGATTTTCGTTGTTCTGCATCAACGGCTTCACGCAACTACTCATGATAGGATCTTCAGAGAACCTAACCTGATTGTGTCATATGGAACAAATGATGAGCAATAGTAAATATTGTGCAATTTTCTGAAGAGAACAAGCTCAAAAACTTGCTTGCCACACATTTCTGATACCCATGGAAAGTTGAAAGATGAACTATATTTTGAAGGAAGAGAGAATGAAAGAGTTCATGTATTACGAGGCCAAAGTCATTTAATTCTACACATTTAAGAAGTTAGGACTAGTCACAAAATCTTAGGTAGCCTAGAGACCTAGCATGAGAAATAAATACCTTTTCCACTGAAGCAGTAAAATTGTCATATGCTCCACCCAGTCTTGCATACAAAAAAAATGAAATTATATAGAAACATAAAGTTTGGTTTAGAACTTGGAATTATTATGTTTGAAGAACCCATAAAAAGAATTATTTATATCTTTGCTTCAATTCAGTCTAAGAATTGAGTGATTAAGAGGGAAATAGAAAAAACACCTCCACCAACAGCACCAGGCTGAAGTCTAAAGGGCCATTATGCCATAATATAATGGATAACCTTCAAGGAAATGGATCACAAAATAATAAAATATATAACAACGGAAAATCTTTATTGAAGATGACACCCTCACTCTTCTTGGGAACAGGGAGTTCCAAGAATAAACAGAAAAGCAAGATAAAAGGAAACAAAGTACAATATTCCAGGACCTTCAAGAGCCTGGTCTCTCCTTTTTACTTATTTAATTGCCTTCTCTCACTTCTTCATTTATAGCAGACTCTTCACTCATCCACTTACTTACTCATAACAGTTTCACTGCCTTCCCTGATTCTCCCTGTTATAAAACCTCATTGACAGACATGCCCACATGAATTGGTCCTAACTCTACTTCTCCCTGTGTAAGTACACCTCCTGAACTGGAGTTCTACCACAGCCATCACCAATCTCAGTTATCCAAGATCGTTGCTTGTCATAATCATTGACTTAAATTTTTGGTTCTCCAAATCTAGTTCCTCCTAAGAGACCTTATGCTTGGATATCTAATGATGAGTAGAATAGAATGGCATGTGAGACAAAATTGCCATACCATTTATTATTCGATATTTATAATGAAATGAAGGAAAGTTTCCATTATCGGATATCTCAACATGTTATCGGATATCTCAACATGTTATCGGATATCTCAACACCTGGTTCAATTTCATTATCGGATATCTCAACATGTTAGCATAATGCAGTAGACTTCAAGCACAATGAATATGAAAAAAGACGACAAATACAAAGCATAATGTTAGTAACTAAGAAAGTAAATAAATTGGAAGGTAGAATTGATAAAAACTTGGAAGTTACCGAAACGGGAAGTCTCTGAATCCGGGTAGCAAGGCTTCTGGCAAAAGGGTCTTTGATCCTTTGGACTTCTGTAGGGAGAAATGAAGGAAAGACATCAGCTTCGGACACAACCTTGAGTTTGGGTGTTGATGGAAAAGAAAAGCCCGGTTGCGAAGCAAACTGAGGTGGTAATAGTAATAGCATTGCAAAAAATGGAAATTGAAAAAAATCAGAGAGGCAGAGGCAGAGGCTAAGGTAAACAAACGTGGAATATGTATGTCACAGACCTGTCCTGTCCTATGTTCTTACAAATAACTGCCAGTTCACCTCCCACCACATTAAAGGATAATGTGAAAAATAATATGATACATAATATTGTTTTTAAGATAAGAATTTATATAATATTCCGTTTTCTTTTTTAAATGTTATTTCCTATTATATCAATTTTTTTACATTTTGATTCTTTCTAAAAGAAAATTTCATTTAAAATAATAAATTATATATTTTGAAAATACTAAGAATCCCAGTTACATGATATTTAATTATATTTTGAAAAGTGCATAATCATTAAAACATAAAACTCAAAAAAGTTAGGTTATTTCGTTTAAACTTTAAACTTTTCCCAAACTAAAATACCAAAATTCTAAAAATCATAACTTAATCATTTTAAAAGCTTTTTGTGATTTGGGTGTTGAAACATCTTGAACATTTGTAAGTCTTCTTCCCAATAAAATTGATTCAAGTTCTTTAGATGAGTAAAACATGAAAAAGAGGTATCTAAACGAAACGAAGTTTAACTTCATCTATTTTTTTAGCTTATAAATTTTAAAAGAAAAATTCATTTAAAATATGAAATTAAATACAAAAATTATAAATTATATATGATTAGAAAGCTTGTTAAACCTAGTTTCCGAACATGTAATTAGATTTTGAAGATTTGTTTTTATTTGATACGTTTAAATGATCCAGGTTATGTCACTATATCTAGATATTTTAACACAATAAATATCAACTTTTAATATTTATAGTTATGAGTGTCAAAATAAGTTTAACTCGATTGGTCACTCTAAAAGACTCGAAAAATAGGTTAAAACTAGGCAAAAAAATTATGACTTAAATGAAACTAAACAAATTTTTATCTGACCTATTTAGATCAGAGTTGAACCGTAGGCTTATGAGTTGAGCTTATTTATAAAATAATAATTATTTACTAATAAAATAAAGATAATATTATTTTATTAGAAAATATAAGTATAATAAATTAATTTGATAATATATATATATATATATATATATATATATAATCCGAAAAGAATAATAAACTCTAAACATAATCTTCATTTACTTTGATCATCTTCTTCCTCATTGTCGTCACATTTGTTTGTAAGGACTAATAATTTAAGATGACATATTTTTAAATGTAATGTATTTCTAAAATATCATGATATGGGAGTTATATTTGATAATAAGACTAACTTGTTAAAGTTATGAATTTGACTCTAAAATTTTGCTAGATGTACTCGCTAGATGCATTACTAAGCATGATCTTCAATTTAGCGATATTAAGTACGAGGGAGCTTGGAAGGTAAATAAAGTTTTGAATCCTGATTTTAAATCAATTATTATAAACATTCTAATTACAGAGGTTTATAACGTGTATTTAACTAAAAAGAAAAAGCTACAAGATGTTTTTTCTAATATTTTTGGTAGGATATATTTGAATTATGATGTATCACAATTATAACTCCTTTAAGACTGTATGAATGTAATAACTCATTTTTATGATGTTATACATTTGATTTTATTTTGCCAGAAAAGTTAATTTTAAATAAACAAATGAGTGACATTTTTTTTAAATTAAAAAAATTATATAAATAAATAAATTATGTTTAATTAGGTCAAAAATGGCTCGTTAACCAATTGGCCTAACATAGGGTTAGGTTAGACCAAAATTTTTAATTCGCGTTAAAATATAGGTCAGGTTGTGCCATTAGATTATTTTTATTTTGTCTATAAGATCAGATTGAGCAACCATTTTGAAAGCCCTATTTGTAACTCCTTCATTTTAAAACATTTTTTTCAATTATTTCAAAGTCTATTATGCATATATTATATATAAAAGGTTCGAAAAATATATTAAAATATGTCAAAGAATTTGTGACTTAAATTGAATCAGATATATTTTGACCAAACTTATTTAGACTATAAATTTAGACTATGATTTATATGAACTTAGGCTAAACTAGCACATTGATTTATGAATTAGTCTGTTTTATAGAATAATAATTATTTAAAAAAATATTATTTTATTATATATATATATATATATTATAAATTAATTTGACACACATTCACTCATTTTAAAATAAACTATAAGAATAAATTTTTAATAATATCTTATTTTAAGATCTAATTATTAATATTAATTACTATTTTGAATTAATAAATTATTATAAATAAATAATAATAATAAATAATATTTATATATAAGATTGGATGAATATATTCTTTTATAATTTATATATTAAATCATTATATCTTAAATAAAAACTAATTTTATTAATAAAATTTAGATTTTTAAAAATATTTTTTTTATTTTTTTAAAATATATATGTAATTAATTAATTTTATATAGATATGTTAATATTAAAAAAAAAAATCAATCGTACCAAATTTTGTATGTTAGTCCATTGACCTAATAAAGGGTCTTGCTAAAGTAATTTATCCATAAGTAAGACTGAATCATTAACTTATTTTACTTGAGGCCAAACTAAACTGAACTTGTGGTGCGTTTTGGACGGCTTTACATATATTATTTCTTGCATTTATGTTTTTAATTATTGTAAATCAACCAAAAACATTCTTTGAAAACTTTGACGAAGTATTAGTTGAGAAAAGTTCCCAAATTCTTTTTATAAGAATGACCTTCAAGTTAATCACAAAAATCAATAGATTCTTAGTATGTTAGATCCAAAATTTTTGGGTAAAAATTTTGATTAACTACAAACAAACCTTAAAAATATTTTAAGAAAAATAAAAATTTATTATTTGATTTGATAATTCACTGTGCCTGTACTATCGCAAATATGTTGCAATATGTGATAATGAAGTGTGTACTTTATTTTATGTAAAAAAATTGTTTATGAAAATAAAGGAAGGATTATCAATAGAGTAATTCACATTTAACATTTGAAAAGCAAAGAGCATCTCTCACCTGTATATGGAGAGACATGATGTGAAAAAAAAAAAAAAAAAGACATTAAAAACTTGATTATTAACAACAAATTGGTTAAAGAATACTCATATTATAAAATTTGGAGAAATTTGTTTAAGAATTCTTAAATTTACTACTTAAATTCACATATTATAGATTAAAGTATAAAATATTTATATGTTGATATATATAATTTTTTTTTAATCTTACAATGAACTATATTTAAAGCGTTTGTTTAAGATCGTTTGTAAAAAAATATTATTTAACCTTTTTATCATATAATCTTATAATTAGACTTTAACTATATGCTTTTGAAATCAAATGGTTTATTTAGTGTTCGTTTTAGAAAAAACAATCAAAATTCACTTAAACACAATTTTACAACTCTTCTTATATTTTCTTGTTTTACAACATAGATTAAATAATTATAAAAAATGAAAAGATCAATTCTCATTTTCCTTCTATCTTAAGTGGGTAAAAAGGAAGGATGAAATGAGTCTAGATGATGTACATGAGAAAGGAAGAGACTTATATAGCAACAATCCTCAAAGAGTTTATAACAACATTTCTTGCTCTTCGATCTGCATGAACAGGAGGAATTGAGAAAGACTAGTAAGTTTTCATAATTCCTTGGTGTATCTTTTATTAATTGTTTCTTTCTTGAAGTTTAAGCGATTTTTATTGTTCTTGTGACAATTGTTTTTATTTTTCATAAGATGTTTTGCTTTATTTAAGAATTATTTTGACTTTTTTTCTTAGTTTTTTGTAAGATCCATTGCCAAATAATTTATAGAAACTTCAATAATCAAATAACAATAGCAATAAAATAAATTTTGATATCCTATTCTAGAATCATCTTCATACTAAAATGAAAATGATAATTATTGGTAAAATTTGATTCAATCATCTATCCATCCTAAATATAGATTTTAAATAAATCTTTTATCTAATATTTGGATGAAAAAATTTTAGAGAATAATTCATTTTTATAAAAAAATTAAAATAATTTTATAAAAAATATATTATTTGAATGGAAAATTTTAAAAGAAATTAAAATTCTAAAAATCTATGACAATTTTTAAATTTCATAAAAGAATACGAATTTTAAAATTTTCATTACTCTTTATATATATATATATATATATATATATATATATATATATATATATATTTTTTTTTTATTTTTTATTTTTTTCTTTTTCATATTCTTTCCTCTAGTTGATTCAAAACAGGAAGTTATTGGTTTAGCAGAGATCATATCATCCTCGAATTGACATCATTTGTGGATTGTATGGACAAAAGTTTCATTCAAAGTTTTAGGTTTTAATCAGTTATCTTTTAGTCATCATTATTGGAGATATTTTATTAATGTTAATGAGTATTTTAAAAATTATGTAAATCACAGTGTTTAATTGACATTGATAACAATTATTTAAACTTCTACTTTTCAATTGGGGTTTTAAAATATATTTTTTATAAATTATTGATGTATTAATATTTTATTTTTTGTATTTAGTATTATAACAATTTCAAAATAGACTTAATATCTGAAAAATAAGTTAGATTATATCAAAATATTTATGATTTTTTAAAATTATTTTATAGAATAATAATTATTTTTTAAATAAAAATAAAAACAATACTACTTTATTAAAAAATAAATATGTATTATAAATTAATTTGATAAAAATTTTATGTATTTTAATAAAAAATATCAATATAAATTTAACCATCACTAATCTCAAGATTTAATATTAAAATTAATTAGTATTTTAAATTAATAAATTACTAAAATATAAATAATAATAATAATAATATTAAGTAAGTTTTTAATTTTTATTTTGATATTGAATTAATGCATTATTTTGTAATTTATATATTACATTATTATATTTTAAATAAAAATTAATTTTATTAATAAAATTTAAAATTTAAAATCTTATTTATTTTTTATTTTTATTTAAATATTTTTATAAATATGTTATTTTTTTTTAAATTTCACTAAGTCAAAATTGACTTGTTAGTATTTTAATTTATCATAAAGTTATATTAAGTTAAAAAATTTTAATCTAATTTAAAATATAGGTTATATATTAACTCATCAACCAAGTCAGAACGGGTTGCACCATTAATTTTGATAGTTCTACTTTTTAGTATTTGAAAAAATATATATTAAATATAAGAAAAAAATTTATTCAATCATCTTATACTATATATTCCAAATAAATCTTTTACATTACACTCTATGTTTTTTGACAAAGAAATTTAAAGCAAATTTGAATTATAAGAATTTATAAGAGTAATTTAAATATTTAAAATAAATAAAAAAATCACAAAAGAATTAAGAATTTATAACTTTTTGTACCCTCTAGTAATCTATGTTTTCTCTTTATATTCTATTGTAAGCTTGATTTAATATATATATATATATATATATATATATATAAATAACTTAATCGAAGTGATATCATTATTTATTCGACATTGTCATTGATTAATATAAACAAAAGTTACTTTCATATTATTACGAATTTCAGTTAGTTATTAATGATTATCAGTTGGAGTTTATTTGACTAATATTAACAAGATTTTTTTTTTTAATGTTAGAGTTATTTTTGTTTGATTTCAGTTATAATTATTTTTTCATTGTCTCAATGTTTTTTTTATCCAAAATTCGTAAATTTTTTTTAATGTGAGACCTTTAAAAACTTGATACCACCTTAATTGAGATTTTTTTTTTAATTTTTGTTGTCTCTGTTTCCTGGAAAAGCTTTCAACTTACATGGCTGAAAAGTTACAAAAAAAAAATGAAAATAAAAATCAGCCACTTAAAAAAATAACCTCAAAATATATTAATCAAAGAAAAAACTCGGATGGATGTAACAATTGAAATGCATTATATTTTTAATTTATTGAATATTATTTAATAACTAAATTATTTTATCAAAATAAGAAAATTGAGAATTAATAAATTGAATTGTTTATCCAATAAAAATATTTTAAAAATTGAATAATTTAAAATAAACTCAATATAAACTTAATATATTTAAAATTTTCAAAATAAAACACCAATCACTCTAAAAAAAATAAAGAATTGTTTTTTATATATTTTTTTTACAATTTTATAATTGAGATGAATTATTATTTAAAATTATTAAGACTATAGAATAAATCTTAAATTTTTTAATTTTTTTATTCAAATTTAATGTTAAAAGTTTAAATATATTTTCAAAACATTAGTCCTAAAACCTTATGTTTAGAAATATTATATGTGTAATAAAGATGGGAGATTGGGTGTGTAATAAAATTTGTGGAAATCATAAAACTGAAAATAATTGAACAAAAGTAAATTAAAGGCAAACAAAACATTACTTCAATTTGGTAGTTCAAAAGTTGGCGTTCAAACTAGCGGTTTTAAAAACTCGACGGAACGAACGAGTACAAATCTGGTTTCCTATTGAAGCACGAAGATTACTCTACATTGTCCAACAAGTATTGCAAGTGAAGCACGCCAAATTTCTTTGCATAACCCAAGCACAACGCAAAGAAAATATAAAACAAAAGGATAAAAAAATTGTCCACCGCCATGGATTCGCCGCACCGAACAGTGGCTTCTCCTCCGTCGCCGCAAGGCCGCGATTCCACCGCCATTCTCTTCACCTTCCTCTCATTCTTTGCCGTTGTCGCTCTGGTAACTCTCCCTCTCTCCTCATGCTGATTCCATAATATTTTCGATCTCGCTTGCGTTTTCCGCTTCTCGAAAAACGACAATGCCTCACTTTATTGCACCTTCGCAGCTAATGTCCTATAACTACATTGATGTTCCGCTGAATCTCACTCTATATGTAATCCTTTATCGATTCATTAGTCACTCACATCACTTATCTGATTTGGTTGTTTGATTGGTTTGCCTCTCTCTGATTTAGATGTTTTCTTTAAATTGTATAAATGTGTTTGGAATATTTCACCGAAAAATTATGTGCTATTTCTGTGGTGTAACAAGCATTCGTTCAGTGGACTGAACTAGGTGAAACAAGCAAAGTGGAGTTGGATTGTAGTATCTGTTACATGAAACGTGATATACTGAAATTTTTTGCGTGATAATGAATTTTATAATCGACCTCCATTTTGCATTGTAATTGTGACAAAGTGAATGCAATCACTAACATACCCCTGGGTGAGAAGGAAATAACCTTTTTTGCACTAAATATTATATAATTGATATTGCACATAGGTGTGGAAATGCCTGGGATATAAACATTCAATTAGCTGCTTACACTTGTTAAATCGAGGAATAGTGGAAAGTTCTGAATTACGGAAGTTAAATGGAGATGAATAGCTATTTATTTTTTTTTGGATTAATTTTTACCTACTATTTTTTTGGAAAGATCAGTTCAGAGAATGAAGATGTTCTGCGTATAATTTCCATTTTTGACTTGTATATAAATGTTGATTTTGTTGGAACTTTTACTGAACTAATTGGCTTTCCAAAACTTTAGTTTTTTTTATTTTATTTTTATAAACGATCCATGTAGCTGAATGACCGTGGGAAGTTTTTATGTATTTGTTGCTGTACTCTTTCTTACTATTGGAAAATATGTATATTGATTGTACTCAACATTTGAAGCTTAGAAACATGTGATGTTATCTGCAGGTTTTGGTTCCTTCAGCATCACCATCCTTCCAAAATACTTTAACCATTCTGCACCAAGTCCCTGAAGGTCATGTGGGTGTATATTGGAGAGGAGGTGCCCTTCTGAAAACAATTACAGAGCCAGGTGCTAAATATTCATTTGTTTTCTTTAGTGTATACCAGCGCAAAGGTTTGCTTAATGTTCTTTCCATTAAATTTCCAGGTTTCCATCTAAAGATGCCTTTTCTTACTCAGTATGAACCTGTTCAAGTGACACTTCAGACGGACCAGGTAACTTGATTAGAGCAAGTTCAGGATGGGAATTTCAGTTTCTTTTAGCTCTATTTTAGACTTTTGAAATATGGTGACCATTGCAGGTGACTGATATACCCTGCGGTACCAAAGGAGGTGTTATGATCAATTTTGAGAAGATTGAGGTAATAGCATTTTTTTTCTGTAATCTTAGATTTCCTTGAGTTCTTTTTTTTTTTTTTTTTTTTCACATCTTTAATAATTTTATATGAAGTGATGTTTATTCTTCTTTAGGTTGTTAACCGACTCCATAAGGAATTTGTCTTTGAGACATTGCTCAACTATAGTATACATTATGATAAGACATGGATATATGACAAGATTCATCATGAGATCAATCAGTTCTGCAGCTCTCACAGTCTTCAACAAGTCTATATTGATGTGTTTGACCAGGTTAAATATTAAATTTTAGAAGTGTAATTTACAGCCATAGTTATTCTATGCTGGTAACTACCACTTTATTTATTAAGAATTAGATGATGGTTGGACTTGATATTAAACGTTTTGATGCTGCTTAGTAACAACTTGTACCTTCTATTGTCATCCACTGAAAAGGAGTAATGCAAGATTTTATTGGATCATACTTTGTGATTCTTTTCCTCCTTTGTACCAGATGAGTTAAACCAATGTGCATCTTTTGGCTAATGGTTTTTCTCGTTTCTTTTCTGAATAATACTTCAATTGGAATCCTTTCAGATTGATGAAAAGATGAAAGATGCCCTTCAAGTTGACTGCACCCGCTATGCTCCAGGAATTGAGATCATAAGTGTCCGGGTCACAAAGCCAACTATTCCAAATAGTATAAGACGCAATTTCGAACAAATGGAAGAGGAACGTACTAAGGTATATTCTCAGTTAGAGCTGTCATTTTCTGTTGAGATGTGTGGAGCTATATAACTGGTTTAGTTGATAATTTCATTTAAAGGAGACAGGGTTTTTAAACAATTGTGAGCACATACACATGTCAATGCTTTTTTTCCCTTTTATGATTGATTTGCACGATAATTTCTCTCAGATTTGTGCATTTGTGTTGAATCCTATAAATGCTTCTAGCAAGATTTTGTACGCTAGACTCTCCATTTATTTTAGTTTTAGTACTTCTCTCCCCAAATGACGTTGAGCAAGGTGCTTTGGATGTTATGGGATAGGTCTTAATTGCTATTGAGAAACAGAAAGTATCAGAGAAGGAGGCAGAGACTATAAAGAAGATGGCCATTAGCGAGGCTGAGAAGAATGCCAATGTTAGCAAGATCCTTATGGAGCAAAAGTTGTTGGAAAAGGACAGCACTAGAAGACAAGAAGAAATAGAGAATGCAATGTACCTGGCCCGTGAAAAGAGCCTGGCAGATGCAGACTTCTACCGGTGAGATTTTCCTATTCCTAATGTCTTTCATGAATGTAAGTTTATGAAGATATCACAATTTATGGCATTGGAAAAAAGAAATTATGAATTTAATTGTTTTTGCAATTTGAAGAGTAATTAAGGAAGCTGAAGCAAACACCTTGAAGCTTACCCCTGAATTTCTTCAGCTTAAATTTATTGAGGCCATTGCTAATAACACAAAGATTTTCTTTGGGGACAAGGTATTCCCTTCCTCTATCAGCTATGCTAATATCTGTCTGACCTTGTGCACAGACCTGACCTTTAAGCTTGTTCCAGATTCCTAATATGATTTTGGATCAGAGGCTACTTGGAAACTTACTTCAAGTAGTTTCTAGAGGGACAACTACGACAGCCAAATCAGATATCTGAATTATTAGCTGTCAGAATTCGGAGCTCAGATGACTCAAAAGCTTTACCAATATTTTGGAGAGGAATTATATTTTCATAGTTATCTTTACACAATCAGGAAACAGTTCTACCGAACCTTTTTCCTTGGGGAGAAAGTAGATAAAGACTCAAACCGAGATCAACTGTTGCAGCTGGAATAAAGAGCTTGTGGTTACAGTGGTTACATCTTCTCATTAAAACGAGCTGATCTTTTATTGTCCTTACACCTGTCACCTTTTCCCATTTGCACAGTCAGGTTTCATATACACTTATTATATTGGGATGTATGCATTTAGATAAAACGCAAAGCATTAGAAGAAACATACAACCTGCAAATAAAAAATTATTAACTTGAGTAGGTCGGCTTAGCCATTCTTAATTGATAAATTAAAAATATAACCAAAATTTATAAATATTTAAATCATTATAAATAATAATGAAGGCTAATACAAATTAAAAAAATAAACAGTCAATTCATAATACAAATAATATTTATTGTTTAGAATAATATTTTGTCAAATTTTGTTATCTTTTAGTACATTAGTATTTATCTTTTACTACATCTTAAAATATTTCAATCAAATTTTAGATAAAGTAAAATATCATATTTTTAAGTATATATTATAATTATGTTATTTATGTAATGATTGAAAAAATACTGTAATATAAAAATTATAATCTATCTACACCAAAATCTTAAAATCTAATATTAAAATAATAAAATGAATATTACAAATAGTATAATGTTTAAAATAATAATGTCATATAAAATATTGAAAATTAATTAATATTTATCATTATATAAAAAAATCTAAAATTCTATTTTATAAGTGGAAGACGAGAAATAAATAAATATAATAAAATCTTATGTTAAATGAAAATTTTAATATAAAAAAAATTAAAACTAAAAATTAGAAGTTAGAGTTTTAAAAAATCTACTCAAAGTTTGCTAAAAAAAATTACAAATATTAATTATAAAGTCAAACAAAATTTTTAACTAATAAAATATATAGAAATTAACTAGATATGACAATGAAAATATTTTCTTAATTATCTCCGTTAGTTGAAATTAGAATTTTCATTTTCATTTTATTGATTCGGGATTTCTCCACAGTATGCATAATTATAAAAGATTAAATTTAACATTATTTTTTATGTCTTCATTCTCAAACTTAAATATTTATAATTTTACACTTTATTTATTTATTTTTATTAATTGACTATATATTTTTATATTAAAATATCAATGTAAAAAATACATGTTTAATATATTTTTTTTACTTTAGATCTTATGAATGTGGAATAATAATAATAATAATAATTTATTATTATTATTATTATATAATTAGAATTACACTTCTACCTACGGATCAATTTGTCATTGTTTCGATGGAGAAAAATTGAGTTGGTTGAATTTAAAATTTTTCTGTTTTAAAAGGTGTGGGACAAAGAGATGAGTAATGTAATATTTATTTCGACTTTGTCTTTATTTCAATTTTATATTTAAATTTTAACTCTAAATTATTAATTTTTTTAAGTATTTCTTCTCTTTTCACCTTATATATATATAAGGTAATTTTATCTACATCTCACACTCATTGTTTTACTCCTATCCATTTTTCATTCTTTTATCATTTTTAATCTCTTCAATCAATCATTTTATTACATTATTTTTATTCTCATATTTTGTTTGTTTACATCTTCTTAATATCTTCAATCAATTTAAATTTTTTTATATTTTTAACCAATTTAATAAACACAGTTAATTTTTCATCATTCTTGTACTATTCTAAATATTATACATCAATCTTAGAAATATGTAATATTATTTTATTTCTAGTTTATCTTTATTAGATTTTATTATATCATACTTTTGAATTTTATTATTTTTATTTATCATATATCAAATTTATCTCCATAAAATAATTATATTTTGAACATCTCATTAAAAATAATTTATAATTAAAATTACTTTACACTAATTAAATAAAAATTAATTTATTAAATATTTTATTATAAATTATATATTTTATATTTATTAACATTTTAAATAACAACTTATAAAATAATTAACTTATAAATATAATTAAAATTTGAATATAGTGTTATAATAATAATAATAATAATAATATTATTATTATTATTATAAATATTCTATATGTATAATAAATAATTAAATATTTCTTTTATATACATATTTTAATATAAATATAAAAATAAGTATATACTTAATTAATATTAATAATTATAAAATTATGAATATTTATTAAATATAAAAATACATAAAAAATATTAAAATTAATTTATTATAAATATAATTATTTTAAAAAAATAATATAAAACAAGAATTAAGGAAATGTGAAAATTGAGATAGAGTCTATTAAAAAAGTTGAGACTAGATTCGGAAGACAAAACCTGTCTACGTACGCCCGATGTAATACCTATCTAGCAACCAATAAAAATATTGCTTTATTATAACAACTCAGTTTATTAATCTCTTTTATTTTATTGTAACAATTCTTCAAGATATTAATTCTTCTATTATTTATACAATTAGTCAGTATTTTTATTTTTAAGGTGAGATATTGAACATTTTCCTCAGCTTCGTGTTTACCACAACTCTGCATAAAGGTCAAAGACTTCATCTTCCTTACCTTTTTTATCATAGATGCTAATTTTCCAGGTATCAATATCTATTTCAATTGTTTCTTTTGTACTTGATTGTCATTATTAGAGTTAAATTCGTCGTGAATCTAACTCAGAAGGTTCGAATTCATCTGCTTAATTATTGTACATTTTCAAAACCTTTTATCCACAATTTTGTGCACCTGGTTCTTTAATTAGTTGAATCGATAAAAAATCTAATCACTCTCCTTTCTATCTTTAAGATAACGTTGTTCCTTTATAAACGAACATTAGTACCATAACATGTTCAGAATCAAAACATTGCTTTAGACAATCTTAGTGAAAAAAGTAGTTCAAATGATAATCCAAGATTTTTAACTCTGAAAACATGATAATAGCACTGTTATTAGCGTTGTTTGTGCTTATGAAGTAGTTTGTCTGCATGTCTTGAAACTGATTCCAAACAATTGTTGGATTAAATGTTATTTTAACACTGTTGGATGCACTATTGTCACTTCGGGAGTTGCCAACTTAAGGTCTACACAAAATTTAGCATTCACTTGTATTAATTTCATTCTGAAATGAAAACAAAACATTATAGTTCATCTTATTTAGGGTGGTTAGTATATAAATAAATTCAAGGTGGCTTATTAACTCATTTCATTTTCTTAATGTTGAGTCATAGATGTAAGTAATTTCTAGTCATATTAAAGCCAAGGTAATCAATCCTTCCAATTCCAGAGTATGTTTTAAATGGTAAAATACAAAAAAAGATATTCATTAACAAAAACCGCATTGCCTAGTAAAAAAAGAATGTTAATTTACACCAAAAAAAGCTCTACATTATAGAAAATCTTTTGTTTTAGAAGGAATAAAGTAATCTAATTGAAAATGAAAATTTGACAATCCCCAAACATGATCTAAATGACAGATGTAATGCAGAAGACATGCAAACAAGCATAGAAAATATTAAAAAAAAAAAATGGCATATAATTGTAGCCGATTCCAAAACAATTATTCCGGAATAATAGATACAAAATGTAACAAAATTGGAAAAAATAAAAGAAAGTAAAGAAGGGAAGTAGGTATGGGAAATCATGTGAATTAACTGAAAAACTCTTATGCGAAAGGATCATGACAGCTATTAAAGAAAAAAATACTCTAAAATGATGATGCAGTCGCAAACCAAAATCCTAGATGCCGTTATCTGTAAGAAAATGCCGTTGCCACTCAACTCCCAACAAAATGAAGAAGTACTTCACTGAACTTTCACTGGTTGACGAGTGACTTTTCCTCCATTCTGATAACTCCTTGGCACAACTTCTCCATTGCTACGCCCACCACCATTGTTGCCTCCTCTAGGCCTGCCAGAAAACTCCCCTCGTTTCTCAAAATTATCATTCCTATTTCCATAGCCACCACCACGGCCACCACCGCCGTAGTTGCCACGGCCCCTGAAGTTATCATTTCTGTCATTCCGGTATCCACCTCTTCCTGATGAATACCTCCCCCTATCATTGTTAGCTGCATCAAAGAAGAACACACGTTATCAGCGCAAAATTTGATAGAACAAAGGATTGTGAGCACCGTCAGCATTTGACACCGTCTGCTAAATGGGAAGCCAGTAACTATGGTGCAGTATATTTAGGGCAAAAATCAGTAAGATGTTAATTTGTGGGAAATAATAAACAAAACAGACCAACTTCATTTAAAAATGTTAAAATTTGACATGAAAAGTTAGGCTGGCTTGCCTCGTCGCTCTTCAATTGAAAGTCTACGGTTGTCCAAGGTGACAGGAGGAGAGGCCTGAAACAATACATAGAAATATAACTCAAATGTAGGGCTCATTAAAACAATATAACCATAAACGTGCAAAATTAGCCCAAAAAACTGTAAGCATATAAGCTATATATCAAAATCAGATAACACTCTTTGGTAGAAAAAGCACCCGCAGCAACATCTCCCAAAGAACACCAGCTTTGTAATATCAAATTAGCACTAGCATTAATATGAACACAACTACCAATAAAGGAAGAAAAACCACAACTTGATTCCTCAATTTTCCTCATAGCATTCTAAACCCCCAATAACCCATGAATATGCAGATGTTCTGCATAGATATATTCTCTATTTCACTATAGTTATAAGAGCTCATCAAATCAACTGTGAAACACTAACAATACATATTGTTTTTGCCAAAGAACAAAGACATTGCAGAATGCAAAGGGACTTTAAAAAAGAAAATTCATTTGGATCGTGTACAATGTATCAAATACAACACCATATGGACAAAGGTTGTGCATAATTGCAAAAGGCAACATCATCAACTTATTATCATGAAATACAAAATCTAATTAGAAATCCTTGCAATCAAAAGAGGGAGATTTCGGTTATGTGTGCATACCTCAAGTGCACTTTGCATTGAAGTAGCAGATTCAAATTCCACAAAACCAAAACAAGATCCCTGTTGCTGGAAAGAAGAGCAGATTATTGTATCAATAATTGCGAAGTAATTGATGTACATATTGAAAACAAAAAAGTAAAAGTGCTTGTAACAAACTAACCTTACTACTTCTAACTTGAATTCCATCCCGTTTAATGGGCCCAAATTTCTTGAAAACACGATCCAGCTGTTCTACTGTTGCATTCATGGGCAAATTTGCAACAAATATTGCATAAGCCTTGCCTGTGGAAAATAAATTTTGAAAGAGACAAAGCATCCGGATCAGATATGATAATAAACTAAGTTCATAATTAACCAATGTAGTCACAGAATAGCAACCACCTCCATTCTCATTATTCTTTTCTGTTGGATTCTCAATGGTAAGAGCTGGTACTTCTAATGCTTGCACGCTAGGAACACGTGGTTGTTCTACTGGTTTCACAGGGGAAGCCCTCACATAGAAAGGAGCAGCATTTTCTTTCAGTGCATTCACCTTAAATGAATAAATGCAAATATGGTTCATAAACTACAAAAAATTCATTGAAGGCATAAAAACAAATAATTAAAACTTACTATTGATGCAAAAGACTTCTTTGGAGTATCCTCCTGTGAGTTACTAGAAGCAGCTTTCTCAGCATGTGAATGAGGTTCCAGGTGACTGGATTCATTAACGTGATTAACAGGAACCACCTTTTCAGCAACTGATAAGTTTCCATTCTCCAGTGGCTGGCTGACTTCTTTGTTGACACTAATGTCATCATCAACAACAGTTTGGCTATCTGGAACATCTTCAGCAACATTAATGACATCTGTATGTACTCATAATCAAAATATAAAAAAAATTAATATCCAATCTTGTAACAATACAAAGAAAAATGTTAGAGGAAGCAAACAAAAAAAAAACAGGAATAGGGGGTATTTTTATAACAGAAGAACCATATAGAAGATTTACCAGGCTCAGGAGTGAAAGTATCTGTTGGAGCACTTTCATCAGCATCATTTGCAGGCACAGACTCAATATCAACTGACTTATACTCATCAATATATCTGAAAATATCATTCAAAACAAAGTAGCCTTTGTCCTGTGGGGCTAAGAAAAAGGACTGAGTAAACTTCCTTTTCATATTGTCACTTCCAGTTAAGCAGCCAGTCACTACCACTACCACCCCATCCTTGTGTGAAGGTTGGGCATCAGCACTAAGAATTTCCACCCTAAAGCTTGTGTAATCCAGAGAGAGTATCTTTTTATTTATTTCCTAGACCAAAGTAGAGTAATATCACTCAAGTCAGAGAGTTTGAAATCATTTGTCACAATACACATTGTAATAAAAAAATACATAACACTTGGAAATATTCACCAAATAAACTCGGAAAGACATGCATTGGAATTGGAATTGAAAAAAGGAACTTCCAGCATGTGACTATTCAATTAACACTGTAACAACATTTGTGATTTCAAATGCTTCAAAGAATGTTACATACTCCCTTCGACTTTGACAAGAAAAGCTGTAAAATTAACACAAAGGCTAGCGGTGATAGTGAGGTAAATTCCACAAAGAATGTTCCTGTTGACTATACATGCTATTAATAATATACTAAAGAATTTCAAAAAATGGCAGAACCCTTCTGATGAAAATCACATAACCTGAGGTGATTTCCATATAAGTTGGATTGAATTGTATTAAAACAAGTGACCACATTTTGATAAGAAAAATGCAAATGCTAGTTCATCAATAACAGTTTAGGACATGAGAAATTAAAAGAGTAGTTTAAAACAAACTCCATCAAGCACGTGCTAAAATCTGCAATTACATAACTCCACATGTCCTTACAATAACAAACACTCCATCACTTATACTTACCACAGTAGTCGTCACCATTGTCATGGAACCGTCTTCTTCAGGTCGACTTAGAACACTCGATTCGTGATAAAATCTGTGAACTTGGTCCGGCTCTTGATGCAGTATAGAATAATACTGCTCCACAAAAGCATTGCCAACCATCTGAGGGGTTGGTGATCCATCCGACACTGCCATCTCTGCAACACGACAACACAGTTAGTCTTAACGGCACATACACAGTTATTCCGGAAAACCACAATAAAGAAAAAACGACAAACAATCGTTCAAATAATAAAAGCCCACGACCAAAATGCAATCAACCACAACCCTCATTAATAAAACCAACGCCAACGCATTGCCTACAATTTTGACAAGTAACAAAATATACACAACACACGAACCAGCCATGTGTCAGCAAACAACACATTCCAAGCACTCGATCATACATTTTAAATAAACAAACAAATAACTGGAATAATGTTTAAAAAAACTAAGATCCACGATTTTTTTTTCCATTTCAAAACCCTAAATCCCAACCACACCTGGATTATAACCAAACCCTAATCAAACATCACAGTTCACTAAAAACACATAATAATTAAAAACAATCAGAGATAGATAGAAAGAAAGACAGAAAAGGAACTAAATGATTAATTACAGATAAAAATGGATCAGATAAGAACAAGAAAAAAGATAGCGAAACCTTTATACAAAAATATATACATAATTAAAACGGAAATGAAAGGAAAGAAAGGAAGAATACCTCCGAGGGAGCGATGAAAGGCTCAGAGAAGATGGTTTGGTGAAAGTGGAGGCGGTTGAGCTGAGTGAGATCTCTGTTGAATGCGAAGGCGAAAATATTGAATATATATAGGCGAACTTTTTTATGTTGTTTCGTGTTCATGGGAGTAAAGCTTTCTTTCCTTTGGTCTGGTTCGGTTCTTTAGATGAACCAAAAACCCGGTTTATTTATTCACACATGTGGTTTTATCGATCGGACCAGGCCCAACATTCTTGGTTTCAAAGTTCTTTTGTTGCTATTCTCTTGCTAGCGTGTTAGAATGTCGTGTTTCAATTCAATGTGGGACCCTTTCAAGACATTGTACGATTACGATCATTCAGGGTTAGAGATATAAATTTTGAATTTCATCTATTTAAATTTTAAACATTACTTTAATTATAATTGACTTCATTCGATTTAGTTTTTTAATTTTATGTTAATTAGTTGTTGTTTAAGAGATGAGATGCTTTCTCATTTAAGGAAAAATCTATTTTGATCTAGAGTTAGTCTTTAATATTCATCAAATAAAGTGTGTAAAATCTAAGGGGAAAAAAAATATATATATATATATATATATATATAAACACATATATAATTTTGAAATGTTTGAAAACATAACTACATTAGCATTTAAAGATGTTATTCTATTTTAAAAAGTATAATTTAAATAAATGAATAATATACTAACATCATATATAATATGTTAATAATGATTTGATTTGTGTTGAAGTTAATATCTACATTAATATGGCTTAAGAACTGAATAAAATAAAGTATTTAATTTGGAAGAAAAATAGAGAGGTACGCGTGTCTAATACTTTTTGAAAAAAAAAAATCAATTTAAAGGGAGAAAAGAAAAACTACGTATGCTTATATTTTTGGGTGGGATTCAAATATCTAAGCTATCTATCTTATCTTAGATACTTGGTGAGAGTAAACATATATTCATTTTATAAATTAATAATAAAGTAATTTTATAGATTTCCTTAAACATAGTTATACAAATATTATTAATGAATAAAATTTATTAATAATTTATTTTAAATAAAGATAGTCAGTATTTAGTATGATCAAAAGTTTTATTATATTTAAAAATTAAATTTTTTAAATTTTTATATATTTTCTTTCCTGATATAAAATATAAAAATTTATAATTTCAAAACTAAATTATACTTTTACGATGGATTTTGATGTGATAATAATTTTTAGAATTTTTTATATATGAAATATAATGTAGTTATATATTTTATATATAAAGTAAAAATATGATAAAATATCAAATATTAACCAAATAGAATTACAACTATTTGAATCAAAATAATAACTTAATATTTTTTATTTTATTTTAAATAATAATAAAAATATTTTAATACTTAATGTAAATAAAAGATAGTTGTACCTAATTGGTTCAAATTCATTAAAATCACTATATTTATTTAATTATATAGTAATATGTTATCTTATTAATTATCTTTTATATGTTATTATTTTATATAATATTTTAGATCAGTTATTATCTTTTTGGTGATTAATTATTATCTTTTGGATTATTGTTATCTTATGTAAGAAAGTAGCAAATTTCATTTTATTACTCATTTTACATTATTCTTTTATCTAAAAGTTGATTTAAGCGTGAAAGTGTTTCAACCATCTTAGAGTCACAACTCAAAATTTAATCTATTGATCTTCTCATTTCAACTCCACTCCCTCTTGATAACTTCCTCAAGTCTAGTAAGAACAATAATAAACCTCCTCAAGTCCGGTAAAAGCAATTAAAAAGTAGTATTCATAATATTCCTTATTACTTTAATATATGTTTATTTGAATTTGATATTCCTCTTTTTATTGTTGTTTTTTTCTTCCTGTTTTGCCTGTAATTCTCTCTTGTATAGGATCTTTCACTTCATTAAATCTCATCATCACCTCACTGTTATGTTTTTCTTTTATAATCACTTATAAACAAACTTTTTTTCTCAGCATGATATTTCTTCTCATAAGGTCTCTTCTTTTTTGCATTGACAATCTTCCATTTAGTCACTAATTATTCTTGTTGTTCTTTGTTTATTATCTTTTAACATAGACAAATTGATGGTAGGTTTAAACTTCAATTTTTGCAGTTTTTTTAACTCGGTCTCAAATTTCTTTATTTCACGACCATATTTTTTAAGATCTTCATCTTTTTGCTTAAGAGTCTCGTCTTTGACCTTCAAAAGTTCTTTAGTCTTTTTCTTCTCAAGGTGTATTTGTTGTAATATTTCTTCTATATCTAGCAATTTTTTTTCGAAGATTGTTATTTCTTGAAGTCTTGTTTTCCAACAATGATGATATACTTTGCTATGACACATTTTGTAACTATTTTATAACTAATCTCTCATTGATACATTTAGCTACAGATTAGCTACAGAGTAACTATGGAATAGTTCATCGCTAAATTCAAGTAGCTAATTAGATAAAAATATATTTTCTCTCAAATTTGTAGTAAATTTTGTTGTCAAAGTGTCGCTAAGTCCCTCACTAGTTTAAGTGATGAAATTTTTGTCTTTTCCTAGCTAATTGATCTCCTAAATTTCTAGCTAACTTGTAGCTAATCCTTCCCAATTGTTTTGTCGTTAATCCGCAGCTAATCCCTTGCAATTTGTCTCTAATTAATCTATGGTAAGTCCTTTGCAATTTGTCTGTAGCTGATATGTGGTAAATCCCTTGGAATTTGTCCGTAGCTGATATGTAGTTAATTTCTCTCAAAACTTCTCTCGCTAATACGTAGCTAAACCCTCACAATTTTTCTATCGTTAATCTGTAGCTAATCTTTGACAATTTATCTCTAGCTGATTTGTAGTTAATTCCTCACAATATTTTCCTTGTTAATCCATAGTTAATCCTTCGCAATATTTCTCTCATTAATTCGTAGTTAATCCCTCACAATTATTTGTCGTTAATATGTATCAAAATTTGTCTCTTACTAATCTATAACTAATCTCTCGCAATTTTATATACAGGTAATTTGTTAATTATTATTATTAGTGTAGTAGGTATTCCTGTTAAAGTATCATCATAACATATCAAATGTTTAATATTTAAATTATTATTCATATTCTTAAAAAAAAAGACAAACTTATTAATTTTCAATATAAAAGTATTTTAAACATAGTCAAAATGATGTTTCAACGATTAAAACATAACAAAAATAATATTTGAACTAGAATATTGTGTATCAACTAAAAAGTTTTATATCAACACAATCAAAAATTGAAACAAAGTTTTGATTCTTTAAAGTACATTTTCATCCTTGTTTCTCTAAGGTAGATAATAAATTTTTTCTTAAAAGATTACATTTCTTCTTGCATTTGTTGTTGCATGAGTGTTTGTATTTTTGTTTGTGTCTTCATTTGTGCTTGTATCAATGTTTACATATCAGCTTGTGCCTGCAACTGTATTTTTATCTACTCTTGCAAATTAGATATATGTGTAGTTAAAGTAGTGATTTATTCAGTGAGAATATTCAATTTATATGATCAAACCTAATATTCAATTTATAACTAGTAATCAATATTGATTAACAATTATATGATCAAATGTATTAAATGTGTAAAATATGAATACCATTTTTTTCAAGTATTGTCCAAAGTTTCTTGATCCTTCGTATGTATCATGGCATCAGATTTGACAACCCTATTTAAGTATTTTAACACAATAATTATTAATCATGAAATCATTGAATAAATTTTCTTTCATATCAACATAATATGAAAGAAATACAAACCAAAATTTTTAAGACAATAATATCTTTCTTAACTATACTAGAAAAAAAAAATATTTTGAACCATCTTTCTCTTTAATTGTATGCATACTAAATTGACTCACTTCATATCGAGTAAAAGGGAATTATAATCCGACACAAGAACTCAAACGCCCCATAACATTTCTAACATCCAACGCAAAGGAAAACACAAGTCCACGATTAAATATGCAGGTTCCTTGGGCATTTTCATTTTAGTGAATAACAAGAAACTTTGATCACGAAAGACTCTTTTTTTGTACTAGAATAAAAGTCAAATTTTTAGTGAATTATAATACTTGGGTACACTGGTCCCTTAGATAGACCAAGGTGAACTTCCATCCCATGATGCATGTCGGATGGCTTGAAAGTCTTTGAGTCACGGGGGTCTGCAAATAAAACCAATGACAATGAGAGAGAAGTACAACAACTATGTATCATAATATCGCAATGAACCAAAAGAATGAATAACAGCTACGATTGCATTCCTTAATTATCATCAATACCAAATTCACAATCATAGCATAAATTTACTAGAAGAAAGATTTAACAAAAACACATGATTTTGAGGAGACTATCTTTTATGGTGATTGAAAATAACACATCTTTAAATATTATCACTAGGGGTACAAACCATGCATCTATTATCCAGACTTCCAGTATTGCATTTAAATTGTAATGCTCATTAAATCTTAAAACTCATTATTGGTAGATTTCAACAGAACTGAGTATTTAAGTATATTTAACATCCTTGATCCATGCATGAGGGCTCAAAGTCTGATTTAAGTCTGAATAAGTCTTTTAAAAATGCAACACTTAGTTCAAAACCTTGCAATGCAGGTTCTCAATATGTCTGAATCAGCTTTAAAGATTTTAGTATGACTTCTCTTTAGATCCCCAAATAATGTAAGTCTCAGAAACCTTTACAATCATCTCAAAACAAAAGGAATATAATGACAGATATCCATTACCATAACAAAAAGGCATTTAATTGCATACAACACCCAAAAATATTATCATCAGTCATTCTTACAAACATAACATAGTTCCAAAATAGTTCATACATTGTTTCAAGGTTTGGAGGATAAGTTCTAACCAATTCTTATATATAAAAGAAAAGGTCCATGATGTCTTAACAATTTTTTTTATTAGAGAAACAATTAAAAACATAGAAAAAATCCAGTTCTTCCCTTTTGTGAAGTTGAAGTCAAGTGTTAATGAAGTGATAATATTTCATTTTAATTTAGAAAATGAAGCATAACAACCACTACACTTAACAG